TTTTTTTGTTGTTTGATAACCAGAGGCAGAACCAGACTGAGAGCACAGTTGGTTCCAAAAGCATTAAGAGGGATTAAATATACATGAACAGTCAAAGCTGGTTCATTTGTTCAACATTTTCTTTCTTTCTTGTTTAATAATCAGTGGTGTTGCCGAGGTGACCCAGAATTTGCTTTAAGTAAAAAAAAAAAAAAAACACATCAAAAGCATAATTTTAGCCCAAGTTTGACCTGTTTAATGAATAAAGAGGTGGTGTAATTATAGGCTGATGCTTTTAGTGCTTTCTGCTATTTTATAATGTAATAATCACAGTGGTAAGATGCTTTTCTACATGCAAAATGATAAAGTAGCCCTGTATGACTAATGTGTGGTTTTATTTTCAGGACATAGGCAGAGATGAGATATTTTTGGCAAACAAATGGGAATCTACAGTTATCACATTTGAAGGGTGTCAAGCCTTGCGTAATATGGGCCTAAAGGGCTTGTATTATGCTATTTTCCATTCTACGTTATAATGTTGTTTCCTCATCATAACATATACGGAGTTGTGTTTTGTTTCATTCACACATTCAACACACAAACCCTGCATCTTTAGGCGAAGTGCTCCTCTGTGTTTTTAAACTCCATACACCTTCACTAGAATCATTTGGGTAACTTCAGCCCTGGAATTGCCAATCTGTACTGAAATAAAAGTAGAAGTAACCGTTAACTTGAACTTGAACTGCCACTTCATAACATTATGAAGTGGAACGGAGCATTTTGAGCTTTGGAGACATAGACAAACTAATAATAAAGGCTTACTCAAACATAAATGAAATGCAATATTACGCAAAACTGATTCTTGTGAGCTTCAAGCCATGTTATATTGTTGTTACCTCTTCAAAAACACCTGGAGTTATATTTTGTTTCATTCACACATTTGGGTAATCCTTTATTATTAGTCTGTCCACACATTCAAAGCTCAGTGTTATTTGTTATTATTTCCCTCCACTTCAGCCCTGGTATATTATTGTGGCAGTGAGCATATTTTACAATAATCCCTTATTTAGTTACTCACACACTGCTGGCTGGTCCCTAGACTGTATAAAGAAGTGGACTAAGGGAGCTTGACGTCTGCTGTAGCGTTAGGCTCCAGTCAAATGAATTCACAAAGGCTAATGCTGATTGAGAGTATCATAGCAACCAAAGAAGCTGTCGAAGGTACCGCCCCTTTCCACACCTGTTGGAGAGGGCACTTTGCAACGCTGTCAATCAAACCTGTTGCTAATGTGGGAAAAGAAGCAAGCAAAAGAAGGTCCCCGATTTGTTATTAATGTTTATATCTTGATTTATGAGGGAGGTAACAAGAACCAAGATGGAAAACTGTGTAAATAAAGTAATAATTTAATAAGCAGAATTGTAAATGGTTAAATAACAAAAGTGGTCTAAAATATATACACAAAATAACCTAAACTAAGAAACAAAATTAATATTTAACATGTTTTGTGCCAAAAAAAACTGGTCATGTAGGTCTATTAAAAAAAAAAAAAGTGACTAAACTAAGGGGCACATAAAACAAAACTAAACTGCGAATGTCCCAAAATAAAGTCACATTAATCCACAAACAGAATCAAGTGACAACTAAAAATGCACAAAACAGAACTAAACTAAACTAATGGAAACCCAGCATCTTAACATACAAAATCAGCACAAATCAAAGTGACTGAGGCTACATTTATATGATGACGGCCTGAACAGAAGACGCAAAAGTGGCTTTGTGTCTTTACTTTTTATTCCATGTTTAGACAAGCGTTTCTGGGAGGAAATCTGTGTGCATACGGTGACACAAAAATGTGTGGAATTCAATTGGGTATGCATGGCATCCAACGTGAGCAGATCTGATCAGAGTTTTGCATCTTGGGCAGTGTAGACGGAAATACTACAGTGAAGCGTGTTCAACTATTCCTCTCTGTAGGGTGGTTTCAGATTTTTGCTTTTTTAAGCCCCGTTGTCACCATCTAAAATGAAAGGCACTTCCGATAAAATATTTTGTTGTTTTTACCCGCAAGCGTTCTCGTGTTAACAGGCCCTAAAACACACAAAACAAGTCAGAGAACTGGAGGCCTGGTGGTGTAACACAGACAAAATGGCAAAATAAAAACACAGGGTCATGTAGAGTGGGTTAATATGAACATTTTAAGACCAAAATGACAAGCCTGACAGCAGCAGTTATGGAGAGAGTTATCAATGGAAAGTGAATTGGGGCCAGATTCAGTGGAGCCTAAAGCGCAACCATAATCACTTCCTATTTTGAAAGCGGCGGCTAGCGGGTGAGATTATGGACTGAACACACCACAGGCCCAAATGTCGATATTTAGCCTAAAAGCCATGTAAATTTTGTACGAGACACACACAGAGAGTCAGACAAACTCAAAACACTTTTATAAAGTCTGCTTTGAAAAGAGCTGAGGAGTTCACTACCTGCTGCTTTAACGCACTGCTCTGGCTAAGAGCACCCTTCAAAACTAATTACTGCAAATATTCCGCAATATAACAAAATCACTCACACACATTTTTAAAAGATGTTTTCTTTTTAAATTTATATCTTAGCTGGAAGTCTGAACACCTAATAGAGGTTGACCACCACTTGAGAATTAAATGCTTCAAATAACTTTAAAAGACTAAATTTGATTTATTTCTATACAGCTTTTCTGATAACTTGGCCTCATATCTTTGGAAAATGAATCAGCATTTTAAGTATAACAAGAAATTATTTAGTCAATGGCAAATAAGTGCAATGTGATGATTATAGAGATCAATTAACTTTTAATGTAAACTGTGTGAAGATGATTAGAAATGACCTCAAGACACAAAATGGGGAGGGGCACTATGAAAAAAACAGGACTAGTTCATTTTAAATGATTTGTAGCAGTTCAAAGTTATTTCCTAACACATTCCTAGCATCCTAATTTATGATTTTATATATATATTTTTTTGTTGTTGTTGTTTTTTCAGAACCCAGAGTCAAGTTTTATCATCAATCTAACAAAAACTAGCATGTTAACACTTAACTTCCATACCTTCCTTCCTTACTACGCTTTATATTTAGATACAGAAACCATGTAGACTTATTTGACCCAAACAGCTGCTTTTACAATATATCTGTACTGTAAAATTTGCTTAAATACTAGACGAAAATTAGGTACAGTTGAAATGAGGATAATAGTAGCTCAGTTGGTAGAGTGTTTGTCCTCTGATCCAAATGTTGGCAGTGTGATTCTAGATCCCACAAATGAAAGCTGTTGTTGTGTCCTTGGGCAAGACCCTTAACCCATCTCGCCCCAGTGTGTGCATACACTGATGTATGAATGTGTGGGTGAACGGTTCCTTGATGTAAAGCACTTTGAATGCCTTGAAGGTGGAAAATCAGTATGTAAAAATATGACCATTTACCATTTTACCAAGAAAAGACTGACATTTTAGACATTTAAGACTCATTTTAGGATCTTTGAATGTGATTGGTCGAGAGGCAAAAGTAGCAGACTGTGATTGGCTGGCAGTAACACATGGGAAGAGGGCGGGGTGAGGAGGAAATCGGCATTGAGTTTAGATTTCTACTTAGTTTAAAGTTTGTGGATAGAAGGGTTCTGTTTATATTATTCACCATTACCCACAGTGTAACCTCTGCATGGCGTTGACTTGTTGATAAATCACAAATGTTTACGGTCCTCTCGTGGTGTTATTTAAGTCGTTTTTTCCTTGTAGATGGAATATAGAAATACAGCCACACAGTCTGCTGCAGCTGTGAATTCCTTTGGTGAAAATGAGTTTTTGGTTGGCACGATCCATCATCGCGTCGCGTCGTCTGCCTCTGAGAGTTCTGTACTTGGGTGGATTTATGTCCCAATTCAGCTGCCGTAGAGAGCGATCATTCTCCTGCTCAAATGTCTCCTCAGCTCACCTCAAAACTTTGGGACAGATCTGGAAATAAAATAAATATCAGAACAGAAATTTCAGAAAATACTTGAATTTCACACACTTTAGGTTTAGATTACTGTTTATTTAGTTAATAGTGCATTATTTACATTTTATGGTGGAGATACTTTTGCTTTGCCCGGAATGTTCGATAGTATGGCATTAAAAGTACTGTAAAGAGAAAAGCAGATGATTAAACCTCTCCAAACTGAATAAATGCAAGATAGACAGGATTGATGCCATGATATGGAGCATTCCTGGCAAAATCATGCAGACACACTATTATGAATGAATCAGTAATGGCCTTTATTTGTCAATTTCTTCACATGTACATACAAAGTAATTGAAATTGGACCTGTTACTCCAGTCGTACATTACAAATATCCAATACAATACAATACAATATGACATTGGGAAGACCATGTGGACCGGACTGGAAGACAGGTAGCAGATAGGAGTAAACACTGCAGCGTAACATGAGGATGGGGGAGTGAGGGGGGAAAAAAAGAGAACACCCCCAGACCATGCTCCTATCTGGACATAGTATGGTAGAGTACACAAAAAAAAAAAAAAAACACCTCCATGACAGAGTGTTTGTTAGTGATAGTTACAGAGTGGACTTTAATTAAGGTCCTTTATTACGCAGACTCTTGTAAGCTTTATGCCGTGTTATAATTTTGTTACCTCCACAAAAACATCCAAACACACTCATAGTTGTGTTTGTTTCTTTCACAAACATTAGCTCAAAATGACATGTTATGTTGTGGTAGTTTTCAGCTACCTTCAAGGGCTGAAATCATCCAAATGATTTAGATCAATATTGTACTTTAAAATGTCCAAATTATAACATTATGATCCATGTGTGTCATATATTATAACTATAGAGCAAACACTAGCACCATATGTCTTCTTTATACCAAAACCGATGAGTTTTGAAGATGTTTACTTCAGTTAAGTTCACAGAAACATATTCCAGCTAGATTGTGATAAATGTAGTTACTGTAAAACAATGTGGATTTTTACATGATAGTTTTCATGTTTTTCAGGTTTGGATGTGCGGAGGCCGAATGGAGGACATCCCCTGTTCTAGAGTGGGGCACATCTACAGGAAGTACGTCCCATATAAGGTCCCAGGAGGAATCAGCCTCGCCAAGGTAATAGAACACTAGCACATACTCTACGATATAATTTTTGTTTTCTTGTTCCTAGACTTTTACTCCATAGGACAAATTGTGCAAGTGTAAACTGAAGGTAAACAGCGGGTTGCTCAAGACAGGACTAAACCACTCAGACTTTCAGACTTGTAATGTTTTTTTTCTTTACACAAAATTTACTCTTGTGAGTTTAAGCGATATTATAATGTTGTTACTTCTTCAAAAACAGACCTGGAGTTGTTTTGATCTGTCCACACATGTTTGAGTAACCTTTTATTATTACTCTGTCTATATCTCTAAATCTTAAAATGCTTTGTTTTCTCCTTGTGATGACAAGTGGAGCACTTCCTGTATTACCATATGACATCACAACGTGGAACAAAGTTTTATCATCCACATTAAGATGGATGAAAAGTCAGTTAGTTATGTAGCAAATTTTGGTATATTTCATCAATCCAGGCCAAAGTTGCTTGTCTAATTTACACAATAGTTTTGAGATGTAATAAAAAATATCTGTAACACCTCTATCTTGTTAACTTTTTACACTTTCCAAAAATTTTGTTCCTTGCACTCAAATTGTTCTTGGATTTTTTAATTGTTTTTCTCTCAAATCTTTCTTTACAAAGTACAGACTGATGCAAAACTATATTACCGTATATACATTTATACCAGGTACTATCCCACTACACAGAAGTAATTAGAAAACAATTAAATGTCTACTTCTTTCTTCCTTCTTTACCTGTGGACTGTAGAAACAAAAGGAATTCACTTCAAATCATTATCATATTTTGAATCTGAACTACATTTAGCAATTGGGCCTTTCTCATGCTCATGTAAGACCTAAAAATGTTGTTTATGGCAGCATCTGTATGAGCAATGTCGCTTTCAAAAGCACAAATTCATGCTTTCAATGCATGTTTTTCTGTACAGCTCTGAATGCATTTGTGTTTTGCATCAGTGCGAGTTTAAAGCGCTGTTTTGAAGAACTCAAATGGCCATGCATAGATCTGACCCTGTAGATGAAAAGTTACATTTACATAAGAAACTGACAATGAACCCGTTTGAAGTAATGATGATTTTTTCTTTCTTTTTTTTTTTTTTTTTAAAGATCAGTGCTGACATTTTGAATTCCAAATGATTTTATATCTGTAAATGAAATGGCTTTATAAGGTTAACGGATGTAACACAAGACATTTCTATAAAATCTGTTCTGACATTTGAAATATGCAGCTTCTGTCTGTAATTTCTCTATCAAGGACACACTGCAAATTAATACTTTCAAATACAGTTTGTTCACTAATAGAAAAGAATGACCATATTTGGAGCTATCCAAGGTGCTGAACTGAACTGATTACAACTTCTTAGTAGTGGTGGTATGTAGTACTGCAACTACTACAACTATGGAGTAGTAGGAGTAGTAGGAGTAGTAGTAGTAGTAGGAGGAGTAAGAGGAGTAGGAGGAGTAGGAATAGTAAGAGGTAGTAGTATTAGTAGTAGTAAGAGGTAGTCGTAGTAGGTGGTAGTAGTAATAGATGCTATTGTAGAATAAAATGTAGTAGCCCGAGAGTTGAAGAGGTATGATTCAGGGTTGACCATTCCACTCTAATCTAGTCCTGTCTGGTCAAAGTCTAGTCCATGGGGAGGAAGTATTATACTTCTGATGCCATAGGCCAAAATAACTGAGCCGGCAGTGAGTCCCCTCGGTACAACACAGAAATGCATTTTTTTTTTTTTTTCATAACAGTTGCACATACAGTAGTAGTAGTAGTAGTAGTCATAGTATTTGCAGTTTCACAAATGGTATGATTCACAGCATTACTGTTCAAAAGCAATGCACCATCTTTTTACATGTTTTGCCTAGAATGCTCCATAGTATGCCATTAAATATGTATCTTGGATTTATTTTATCACAGATGTTTTTTTGTTTTTGTTTTTTTTTTTTCTTCAAATTATCTTAAAAATAACATGCATTCTTACTGTGAGCAGGGTCACCCCTCCACAGATCTGACCTGAAACGTGACCTGGGGTTGTCGCATTTCTCCATGGAGTTCCAAAGTTAATGTCTTACTATGATACAATATAGGCAGAGCAACAACGTCTCCATGAAAACAAGAAGCAAACCCTCCATCAGTGTAGACTGTATTTAAACCCCTGTCCTTTGTTTCAGAACCTGAAGCGTGTAGCTGAGGTGTGGATGGACGAGTACGCTGAATTTGTTTACCAGCGTCGCCCTGAGTACAGACACCTGTCGGCCGGAGACATGACGGCACAGAAGGAGCTCAGAGCCAAACTCAACTGTAAAAGTTTCAAATGGTTCATGAAGGAAGTGGCCTGGGACCTGCCCAAGCACTACCCCCCAGTGGAGCCCCCTGCTGCCGCCTGGGGAGAGGTACGAGACCACCAACACATAAAGACAATGGGCCTCATTCATGAAAACCTCTTACGAACAAATTTGTACTTAAGTTTCCTATGAACATTTTTGGCCTTCACAAAACTTTTTCTGAACTGAAAATGGAAGAACAAATCCTACGAACAGTCAGGAGCACTCATAAGAACAACAATTTGACAGTTTCAGAATAGTATTACTCTGATAATGCAATTAAAAAATCTATTTCCTGCATGACTGTATGTTTAACATTTTCTTAAATGATTTCTTATAAAAATACTTATTACTATGTGATGATCCAATAACATTTATGAGCAGTTTTATAGAGCCTGGGGTCTATTTGGTCTAACAGGCTTTACAGGGTGCAGTGAGCCTCAGTCTGTCCCCAGAGTTTTCCATAGGGACCACTGTTACAGCCCCGAGCCTGAAAAACATTACAGATTTCTACTTCAATGAGCAAAGCACTAAACTGTTAATCTGAGGTGAGGGAAATGCCATTTTGTTTGTAAACGATAGATGACCAATGAGTTCCTTTGTTTCAGATGTGTTACTGAAAAAAAAAAATCTGGTTGGACTGTCATGTTCAGCTCTGGCTCGGGGCGTGACGAGGGAGTCCCTGTGTATAAGAAATACAGAAATATCATTCTGGATTTGCCTGGCAATATGTCATGTGTTTTCTCTTGTTAAACTTTTCTATTTTGTGAGTCTGTCATAAATTTGTCAGTAAGCTATCTACTTTCATCACCTTTATGACTTTAATTTTTACCTTGTCATTTTATAAATCTGATGTAATTTATGTCACAGTTTAAACTGCAGTTCAGCAGTCAGCGCATTATTTTACAGACTCAACTTTTGAATTCTTGATTGACAGCTGCGTGGGAGATGAAACTAAGTAATTTCAGAAATCCTACGCTTCCAATCTAATCCGATGTTTTATGATAAAGAAACTCTGCAGAGAATTAATATCAAAGCAAAAGAAAAACAGAAAATTAATATCAAAGCCAAAGTAAAACATACAAGCAAATTCGCCTAACACTGGAGGGTTTAATCTTTTTTTTATTCTGTTGTTTTAGACTTCAAAGTGCAGAGTACAATTTAACTCCCCTGTTTTAAAGAGAGACACTTTTCAGATCTTATAACTGACAATAACTTTAACTAACAAGTATATTAATGTTCAGAATTAATGTAATATATACCATTTTTAAAAGGGTTAAGAGCCGTGTCTACAGTTCACGTCACTCCTTCAGGAAATGTTAAAGACATCAGCTGCAAAGTATCAATTGCAGTTTTAATATGGAAATGAATTTCAACACTAAGTATATAGTCTAGAATATAAAAGTATTTCAAAAAGGCTGCAAAAAGGGCCAATTAAAAATGTTACCACATTTTGTTCAATACCTCAACCTCAACCTTTTGCAGGCAATTTAGCTGAAGCCCAAATGATCTTCTTTTAGTACCCAATATATTTCATTGTAGAACAGAGTAATCGTTTGCTATATTTTAATTCATGGATGGAGATTTTAGCTGTTGCTTATGAGAATGCAAATAAATAGCTTTTGGGGCACAGATCACATAGATAATAACTGATTGCTGATTGATTGGTGAACATGTCTTGTATGTTTGTGCAGATCCGTAATGTGGGCAGTGGGATGTGTATGCAGATCAAGCACTTTGTCTCTGGGAGCCCCATTCGTCTGGACACGTGTGTGAAGAGCAGAGGGGAGGTCAGCTGGAGCCACGGACAGGTATCAGCAAACTAAATATTAACATTAGAATCGGTTCAGTTATCATTTTTAAAGGTGGTACATTAGTCTAAATGAATTCTCATGAGCTTTATGTTGTGTTTTAATGTTGTTACCTCCTCTAAAACAGACCTGGAATTGTGTTTTGTTTCATTCACACATGTTTGAGTTATTATTTTTTATTTGTCTGTCTACATCTCCAGAGCTCAAAATCCAAAAGTGGTAGTTTTCCTTTTACATTCAGTACTATAGAGACTAGCAGTTCCAGTATTCCTATATTGCCACATGACATCACAAGGAGGAAAAGAGTGTTTTCTGTTTGAGAGAAGAACTAAAGCCTAAATATGCAGGGTTTGTGTGCTAAACAAGTGTAAATGAAACGTCAGATGTGTGGAGAGGTGACCCTGCTCATGATTTATTAAGCAATAAAAATACCTGTAATTGAATAAATGCAAGATAGATACTGTGCAAAGCAATAACATCTTCATGGAAAAAACAAAAAAAAACACCCTCCACCAGAAAAGTACATTCAATACAATGAATGAATTTCCTTCATGAGGTATCAATAAAGTAAACCTTAAGTCAACTTTAAATTTATTCTGAACTGCTGGCTGGCAGTGGCCACATAATCACAATTTTGTTCCCTTTTTGATGTATTTAGGTGCTGACTCTGGGCTGGAGGGAGGACATCCGTGTTGGAGACCCTCTACACACCCGTAAAGTCTGTTTTGACGCCGTGTCCCACAACAGCCCCGTCACTCTGTACGACTGCCACGGTATGAAGGGCAACCAGCTCTGGAGATACAGAAAGGTACAGAACTTCAGTCCTTTTATGTGTGACATTTTGATAATTTTTCACTATTTAAAAGTTATTACAGTTTATTTTTTAATTGTTAAAGATCCTATATGACACAAAATTTACTCTTGTGAGCTTTAAGCAATTCAGTGAAGCTGTATAGAGTTTAAAAACACAGTGGAGCACTTCCTGTAAGATTGTGTGAATGAAACAAAACACAACTTCCGGTATATCTGGTATATCTGTAATGAGGAAACAACATTATAACATAAATCAGAAAATACTGTGATGTAGACCAGTGTTTCCCAAACTTTTTTTTTGTGGGGACCCATATTTTAAAAGTCACAAACCTTTGTGACCCAAGTCAATAGACATTATTCGTAAATCACAAAATAAAGGTGGATTTGACCATTATTGAACATTAATGAGGATATTTTATTGTTGACTGAGTGATCATGTCATCATAGTATTACTCAAGTTTTAAACAATGGAAAATAGTAATTAAACCAGCAATAAAAAGATCCATAAGTCACCTATTTGGACATTACATGTAGCCCATTTCTTTTTCTTTTCAACATTCATTCAACAACCAGCACCAATCTTTGGGAAACAATTATACAGACCCCTCAAGTGTAATGGCAATTTTTCATCATTCTGAAACCTGTTGATAGGCTTGTAGTGAAACCTGCTTGTGGATGTGTAAAACTCATTGCTACAGCCTTATTATGGAACATCATCTCCATGGAGACAGACATCTTTAACTTTTTATTTAATTTGAGATTCTTTGAGGTTATGAAATTTAAAAAGCAAAACTATTTGAAAAACACAAGCATGCCCCTGCCTGAAGGCCAAAAGCTGAACAAACCCATTACTCATTTTCAGTTACCAAAATGTTTCAAGTTGTCCAAGGATAAAAAGATCCCACATAGAATTCATAGCAGACATATTTTAAATTATGACTAAAATAATTTGCTTAATACTTAAAAAGTCCGTATTACGGTCTTTTCTGATTGGTTATAATGTTGTTTCTTAATCATGAACAGACCTGGAGTTGTGTTTTTTTTCATTCACACATGTTTAACGAAAAAATCCTGCATACTTACTTTGTTATATTGGATAATTTCTGCTCTGGAATTTACAATCTGGTGGAACAGAGCATTTTGGGCTTTGGAGATGCAGACAGACTAATAATAAAGTGTTACTCAAACATGTGAATGAAACACAACACAACTCCAGGTCTGTTTTTGGTGAAGAAGCAGCACTGCAACATGAGTAAAAGTTCACATTGCGTCATACAGGACCTTTAAAGTTCTTTGGAGTAAACTTTGATAGAAAAAATAAGTTTATGATTGATTGTATTGTATTAGACGTAATGCACAATTAGCCTCACCTGCAGCTAATGGCTTAAGGAGCAGTGTGAGTCAAAGGCACGAGAGGAGCATCCATCTTCCTTTTATTTAGTGTAATATTTTGCAGCTGTGGCATCCTCTCCGCCAAACCAATGTGCTGTGGTCAGCTAAGCTCCATTTAAGCCAATTAATGAATCACTTGAGTTTGAGGAGGCCATCTGTTAAAAAGATAATTAAATAAACGCCGCAAGGAAAAGTGCGAGAGAGCTTTTTTGCACAGAGAAAAGACCAGTTTTCAATAGAGATTGTTCTTTATGTTGATGTCACTTAAAGTAGTTTCATGTTTTCTTTGCTCGAGATGTGCTTTCAGTTATGGTGTGTAATGAAGCCCATTCAACTTGCTTTGATAACACGAGACTACTCCAGTGTTCTCTCACTATTACGAAAATAATACACTATAATTGATACTCATTCGCCATTCAACATGGTCACTTAGCAAGATCTTTCAAAAAGTAAAGGAGGAACATTTTCTCAGAATATAACTGAATGCCTAGTTCCCAACAAAGGCTTAATTGTGGTCCTTTGAATCTCAATGCAGTGCAGTGTTATTGGCTTCCTGTCACCTTTAGAGAATCTGAGACTGTTAAAACTTTTAGATCCAGACATTTTATAAAATCAGCTTTCACTGCAGTGTTGTTAAAGCCACAGTATGTAAGTTTTTTTTTTTTTTTTTTTTTTTTTTATTTATTTATTCTCAAAAACTCCATACTCAACACATGCACAAACACAAAACTACACAAAAACCACTGGGAAAACAATCATTAAAGATCAGTCCTGTCAAAATGTCAAAAAAAAAAAAAAAAAAAGTATCCATAGCCATTTAAAGTCCAGTCCTCTCATTATTATTATTATTATTTTTTTTTTTTTTTTTTTTTTTCTATATTATCTACTCATATTCTTGCCAAATGAAGGGCCTGAAAAATAGAAATGAATACTGATTGATTGCTTGGGTGATAATTGTAATCACTGTCCTCTGTTCTCGTGCAGGACCATAGCCTGTACCACCCGGTCAGTAACAGCTGCATTGACAGCAGTCCCACAGAGAGGCGAGTCTTCATGAACACATGTGACCCCTCCTCTCAGAGCCAGCAGTGGATCTTTGAACGGACCAATTCCACCGTCCTGGACCACTTCAACAGAGGGGACCCTCACTGAGCACCGGACACAAGCCAAGATGTCTTCCACCAAACACAGGCAGCTAACAGCTAGCTCAAACTACTGGGTAAGACTGGGTGAAATTGCTACAAATAATATGCTTTGAATTTTACTTTCCTTGAAATGATTTTAAATAGTTTGGCCGTATTCAAAAGTGAGGAAGATAAGAGTGACTACAGCAGAGGAGCAGCTTGGAATTATTTAGATAACACAAGAGATAGTGAAGAGGTGAGAGAGTGAATACAATAGTTAAAGAGGAGAGGGAATGATAGTATTTTTGTCATATTGCAGAGCACATACATTTTAAATATGTCAATTTGTCTTGATATTTTACAGATGAATGAAGAAAATCTTATTCCTGAGATGATCCACAAACCAAATAATGAAACAAGAGTCAGAACAGATGGACAGTCGTCATAAAGCACAAGGTATTAGTTGTCTGTATCCAAAGGGCTTGTCTTTGTAGAGATACATATGTGAAATTTTCCACAATAAGCCATTAAACTTTTCTTTCGGTTGTTTTTATTTCGAAAAGAAATATCTTGAAAAAAACATGCATTCTTTTTGTTAATACTATATGGTAATGATTCACAACAACTTTCTTGAATATGGATATTTTAATTAGCTTACAGTAACAACGAATTGTAATTTTCATTTTTGCTCCTGCCCACATCTGCAGTATTTTGTCCCAATCCCACAAAATGGGGACGTTTGCTTTCTGAAGCTCTATCAAACACGAAGAAGCGGAAAGGAATTGTCTAAAATGTGTGTGAGATTAGACCACATCCACAAGTTTAGGCTGTGTAAAATGTTTTTATTAAAGCCAAATAAAATATCCAGCACAAATGATCTATAATAGGCAAACATTAATCATTTGTATATTTTACTTTACACTCATATTTAGTTCACTGGACTGCAGTTTAACCTCCCACTCGCCCGCTCCCACATTGTGCAATCCTGCTCCCACCCGTGCCTGCAATGAGCTTTCAAAATGTGTCCTGAGCCGGACTATTTTGCGTGAGTGCAGGGCTCTATAACAAATTTCAAGCAAAGTCAAGTTTATTGAATGAGTTCTCTTTGGTGCTCAGACCCCGGAAGAAAACTTTGCAATGAAGGGCCTGGCCGATAAGATGGCATTTAGAGGACGACTTTTCCCCGGGGACTCGACACTGGAGGTGGTGGTGGGGGGGGGGGGGGGACAAGAAGCCGAGGTGGGGCACAGCACAAATCAAGGCGACCATGTATCTGCAATGTGGGTGTAAATTGGACAAACTGGGCGCTGATTAGTCGAGGAGGAGGTGTGGCACGCAGCAGGTAGGAGTATTTGGAGTGAGGGATGAAGACTGAGGAGCTGGTAATCTCTGGAGAGGTGGTGAGGTGGGAGTGAAGTTAGGTTTTCCAGGCTGAACTTACCCTAGCTCCATAACAAAAGTTACAAGTATAATAAGTATTGATCATGAATAAATATTGTTCAGCCCGTTTATATTGAACGATAAGTTAATATAGTAATTATTGTGACAGGTCTAATTTTTCATTTTATTGTATGTTCTGCAGGATGGACTGGTGTAGCATGGCACAATGGATTATACATTTATGCATATACTCTTGAGTGCACTGAGAGCCTGTGGATTCTTCTGGTGTGGACACAATCTACCTTTGCCTTCAACCTCCTGTTCTGGGACCTGCTGCTGTTCTTCTGCATTTACAGACGTTATCATGGACAAGTGGAGAGAAAATGCAAAATCATATCAGCATTTATCAGAAAGATGTTTTATTTTTGATGTTTTATAGTGTATTTTATTACATTTTAATAAAGCCTGAATGTTGCAGTTTGGAGTGTCTTACTTTTATACTTCAGTTGCTTTGTTCATATAAACTTAATTGAACATTTATTATTCGCTGGAAGCTATTTTTATGTAACACTCTCTGAATGGCAAATTAATTGGGAGTGATATAATTTGTTTACATCATGGACTGTATAAAGAAGTGGACTAAGGTAGTGTGACATCTCCCATAGCGTTTAGCTCCAGTCAAATGAAGCTCACTGAGGCAGGCAGTTATACGAATGAATATGGAGCCATTTTTGGAACTCTGTCCATGAGTATAATAGCAGCCAACAGTGGAGACAATTTTACATTAAAAAAAGTTATTTGTTACCGCTACAAATTACTTTCCCCATAAAGTAATTGAGTTAGTGACCCATGCTGTAAAAGTAATTAATTACTCAGAAAAGTAATTATCCTTTTATTTTTCATGTTATGTACTATTGCCTGGAAAATCGAGTTTGGCTTTAATGCAGTGGCTCCGTTTCCATCTTGGCTAGAGCTCACCCTAACAGCAGCGAGAAGTGTGTTAGCATGTGATGATGTGAGGCACTTCTTTAGATACGAGTTACTTGAGACAGACGGTATACAGCACAGTATACACTTAACATACACATTCTTGCCCTTTATTTCAATGAGGGAGAAATAGTGTCGGTATTCCCAGTTTGAAGACTCTCCCTTTGAATGTCCCTGGTTTGTCGTTACCATCGTCCCATTCACACTGAGTTTGTCTTGTCTAGTCTGAAGTGTGCGGGAATGAAACAACAAGGCTGCTTGAGCAGAGACTCCGCCCACCCAACTTCTTACCCAATCATGTTGGCCCTGCTCTCTCCTGAGCTCTCCCCGCTCCTGCTGATGATGTGTGTCTGTCCGCTCCATGAAGCCTGACACTGTGCCACCTCATTCAACCTGACTGTAACGTGCCACTTTGCTTTCCAAGTAACGATAACAGAGTTGTAAAGATGGGGAGTGTAATTAATTAGATTACTCCGTTACTAAAAATGTAGTGCTGTTAGTAGTGCTGTTATACTTAAATGCGTTATTCCCAACACTGGCAATCAAAGAGCCAATCTGGAGCAAGGCGATTGAAGACGACGCCCTTTTGGAGTTTTCAGCAAAAACATTAGCTTGTGGTTGTAATTTTATTTAAGAGGGACTTGTTTAGCAGGACAAACCAGCTCACTTGTTGTAGTTCCAACTAAATCAGTTCTTTCTGGTCAGATTGTGTCAAAATTGATTGTGTCAAGCCTGAGACAGAGCCGTGCTTACAGTTCACATCACACCCCCAGGGAATGTTGACGACATCAGCTGCAAAATATCAACATTAAAGCCCGTCAAAGTACTTCTTCTTAACAATTCCACTGACCTACTTTTTCCTTGTGTCTTTGAAAGCAGCACCCCTCTTCTCTTCCTCCTCTCAGTGTCTCAGAGTCTTATTGGAAATCTGATAAATCCAGGGTCAAACAAACTCATCACGCTTTTGGAGAAGAGGGAAGAAGAGTGAGCCTGCCGCAGAAGTCCGTCCCTCTCACTTTATTGACACTGTAAGTCCAGATTCAATACACCACTGAAAGTATTGGAGGTCTGAGTCTGCAAGGTCAGATAAACATACACAGTGCACAGGCCTGGGCTTTCTCTATTCACTTCAACAGCACCGAGACTGAATGACCAACTGCACCAGTATTATCACAGATGGGTCAGGTCCAACTGTACTGGAAATGAGTTCACAGCATACACACCTGGGGAAATGTTTTTTACAAAGAAACATGTTTGGAATATGTTGTTGCTAGTGAAGAGTAAAGGCCACCACACACTACTAGAGAATTTGCCAGATTTTGGCTGCGATTTGCTTCTTCCCAAGTTCAGGGAAATCCGTGTATCATTCGTTCATTCGTTTTTCAATATAAAACCAAAAATAAGAAAACGGAAAAACAACAGTTTTCTTCGCTATTTGTCTCCAAAACCAAAATGAAAAAACGGATAACGATTCGTTTTTTCAGTTTTCGATTTTGTGTTTAAATGAAGAATGGAAAAAACGATAACGGCCGTTTCCCGTTTACGTGACTTCCGTGACTGCGATGCCGGACTTTTGCACCGCATACGGACTGAATCAGGACGGATCCAGGTCCGAGACCAGACCGGGACCAGAGCGGGACTCTGGTTCAGGGAGGCCTGACCTGGCTTTGTGTCTTCATGTGCAATTTTGAAGCCGCTGTGCTCCTCATATGTGTGTGTGTCAGTGTGACTCTGAGCTCCTCTGTCAGATCGTTACCACCAAACATCAGCAACACTACAGTAAGAGCCAGTAAAACAGTGTCAGGGGCAGATGGAGTGACAGACACAGAGACAAGATAAAAACTCAGAAAACAGTGAAAATAATGACATTTTATTACTCACCTCTCATAAAGTTGGAATGTTAAACTGCAGCATTTAATTCCATAGAATTTGTTCCCCACATGTAATGACAAACAATCCACAAAACAGCGCTGTGAATCGAGTTTGAGGCATTCTTTAAAAGTAAAAAGGAGAGAGTAGTTCCTTATGTGTGTCTGTTTGCATCCACACAGTGCGCGGATTGAGGTGAAGCTGCAGATTAGTGATAGTAGTGACTCTACTTCCTGTGTACTGTGTATTGCACTAAGCCCCCAGGTTCCAAAATGGCCGTCATTCAAGTCAATGGGCTGAGCTCAATGGCGCATGATCCCAGCTTAGCCTAGCATGGCTAGGTACTTCCGTGGCCGTGGGCCGACGAGCATGCGCAGTTTCTTTTCTCCCACGGGCACTTGCTGCGACCACACGCACGGAGCGCGGGATCGTGTATCACGTGATCGCTTTGACCAATCAGAGCGAGAGGAACTAGAGCGGAGCAGTGCGTAGCCGAAGCTAACGATTATAAAGCTTTTTTTAAGAACACTCAGGATTTTGAGCGAGAAAAAGTTTATGATCTAAAAATAGGTAAAATCGCCAAAAATCCGATAATTTTGAAAGCGAGGTGACCTGTCAAACGAATACGAGCAATTTGTGATTTATATTGCGCTCTATGTAAAAATCTTGTCTCGGCCCACACTTTTTCTGCTGAAGTTCAGTGAGTGACAGTCAACTGAGGCAGCTACAAGCTAGCAATACTGTATCCAGTTATTTTAATAGATCATGATTGCACTACATTTCACAAATAATAACACAGTTTTGACTTTTATCTGAACTAGAAGTGCAGTGCTGTGATCTTTTGAACACTTAAGAGTCTCAAAGCGAGTGGTTTTACTGTAGACAGGAAGCAGCAGATGAGAGGTGCACCCACAACTTTTAGCTTGTGGACCACAGCCATACCACACAGCAGTCTTTGCTATTAGATATTTAAATTCTCTTAAGATCGCACGTTTAAAAATTGATTAAGAAAAATCCTGTAGTGTGTCGCAGCCTGAAGGCTGTGCGATTC